CGTGCGTGCGTGCGTGCGTGCGTGCGTGCGTGTGTGTGTGTGTGTGTGTGTGTGTGCGTGCGTGCGTGCGTGCGCATGCTTTGTCAACGGTTTAGTTAAAACGAATTTTGTTTCTGACAATGGGCCACTCTTCTGGAATGTTTGGGCCCTGTTAAAGCATGTTCGGACTATGTAATAGAACATCCGGACCATGCCATGGAATGTGTCCGGACCATGCAAAGGAATGTTTCTATTCGGACCATGTCATGGAATGTTCGGACTATGTCATGGAATGTTCGAGCTATGTCATGGAATGTCCGGGCTATGCCATGGAATGTCCGGACCATGCCATGGAACGTGACCGGACCATGTCATGGAATGTGACCGGACCATGTCATGGAATATGACCGGACCATGTCATAGAATGTCCGGACCATGTCATAGAATGTCCGGACCATGCCATGGAACGTGACCGGACCATGTCATGGAATGTGACCAGACCATGTCATGGAATCTGACCGGACCATGTCATAGAATGTCCGGACCATGCCATGGAATCTGTCCGGACCATGTCATAGAATGTCCGGACCATGCCATGGAATGTGTCCGGACCAAGCAAAAGGATGTTCCTGTTCGGACCATATTATGGAATGTCCGGACTATGCCATGGAACGTGTCCGGACCATGTCATGGAATGTGACCGGACCATGACATGGAATGTGACCGGACTATGTCATAGAATGTCCGGACCATGCCATGAAAAGTCCGGACCATGTCATGAAATGTGTCCGGACCAAGCAAAGGGATGTTCCTGTTCGGACCATATCATGGAATGTCCGGACCATGCCATGGAACGTGTCCGGACCATGCCATGGAATGTGACCGGATCATGACATGGAATGTGACCGGACCATGTCATAGAATGTCCGGACCATGCCATGGAATGTGTCCGGACCATATCATAAAATGTCCGGACCATGCCATGGAATGTTTGCACCATGTCCAATACCCATGTTATGTCTAATGACAGTTTAATTACGTCACGGACCTCTGAACCCATGTCCGCATCGCGTCTGCATTTTCAGTTTCTCACACGCGTCCTGTGTCCTCCGTTCGCAGTATTTCATCTGCCTGCTGATCATACTGGTCGCCGAGGTTGGTGCTGGAGTGATGGCTGTTGTCTACAAGGACTCGGTAGGTAATCTCTCTCTCTCTCTCTCTCTCTCTCTCTCTCTCTCTCTCTCTCTCTCTCTTTCCTT